AATCATTTTATTGGGTGCTTGTGCAACTCTTATCACAATCCATATATCCATCCATTGTGTGTCAAGCGCATTCATACATTTGTTGCCCTCATCATTCTCAAAACAAAGCTTTCTACTTGAGTCTTAGGCATTAGCTCCTCATTTCTTCCCCTCCCTCCCGGCTCCCCCCTCCCTCATGAACCCTTAATAATTTATAAATTATTAAGATGTTCTACTTTCATTGCTTCTCTACCTTTTGGCTATGACCAAGTGAAGATTTTCTACTTTCTACCCATCTTGATTGAGCTTTATGTTTGTTTTATTTTGTCATTGCTTTCAGGATTTTTTTGGGGGGTGGGGAGGGCCCGGGGAGCAGTGATGTATTTTCCGGTATATGTACACCAGGCGGATAGGTAAATCTCTAGAAACAGTAATTGGATTAATAGTTTCTTGGTGGGATGACAGTAGAGGTTGGAAATAAATGGAGCTAATAGCAAGTACAAGAAAGAAGAAACTGTTCTAAAATTGTGCTGATGATTATACTACGATTGAACAATTGAATTGTATTATATGTGAATTAAGTGTGAATAAAACTGTAGAAATTATACATTAAAAAGATACTTTCAGAAAAAAAAGCTACTTGCAGACTTGGTATTCATCAAATACACAAAGGCACAGTCCACTGTGCCTATACTACTTGAGTTTGAAGAACCAACTTGCATTTAGCAACCTGAGTAGCAGCACCAACGGTACTCCTTAGGATGTTAAGTACTTTGAATATCACTCTTGCCTGTATTATTTTGGTTGTTGTGTGTAGCCAAGTCAATTCTGACTCATACGGCAGACTAGAACTCCCCCACACATTCCTAGGTTATACTCTTGATGGGAAGGAGTGTTTGTGGCATCCTGAGGTAAGCACTGTGCTGCTGACCACAGGTGGACAGCAGTCTTTCATCTGGAGAAGGATGAGATGATCTATTCCTAAGAAGATTTATAGCCTTGGAAATTGCATGGAACAGTTCTTCTCTACCCAATGAGTCAAATGGACCTCTAATTCTTCAGTTACCAGCTAAGCAGTTAGTCATTGTACCACCAGGGCTTCTTTTGTATACATGGATCATAAAATACACCAGCCCTAATCTTCAGATACAGACTGATGAGGCCCCTAAGAATACAGACTTTACCCTTCATACCCAAGAGTTTACCCTTACTCAAAGAGAAAGTTCAGAGGGTTAGGAAAGAAGGGGAAATGCAAATAGGAAACATAAGGTGGATGTGAGATAAACGGTGGTACATTACAGGGATTGCAATGGATGGTTAACCAAAATGTGTATGAATTGCTGAATGTAAAACTGTGATTTGATCTGTAAACCTTCACATAATCAACAATAAAAGTTGAAAATTAGAATAAAAAGTACTTAATTAGAATAAAAATGATGAGAATTGTGCTTTTATTACAATACTCTAAACCCTAAAACACCATAAACCAAAAAACACCCACTGCCATACAGTGAATTCTGTCTTTTTTTGTGTGTGTGAATTCTGTCTTATAGAGATGCTGTAAACAGAGTAGAACTGTCCCTGGGGGTTTCCAAGGTTTTCCATCTTTACAAGGGCAGAAAGCCTCATCCTTCTTTCCTGGAGCAGCTGGTAGGTCTGAACTGCCGATCTTCTGAACACATAAGCCACTATGCCACAAGGGCTCTTAGTTATTGCAATAATTAAGTGGCAAGCTTGCCCCAAATTTCAAGGATAATGTTTGTTGTAAGACTTTTATAGATTCTCTTTATCATATTAAAGAAGTTCCTTTTATTTTTAATATATCCAGCGTGATTTATTTTAATAAGAATGTGGTATTTTATCAAAGGCTTTTTCTGCATCTATTGAGATTATTTCATGATATCATTTCCACTCTATTTTGCTAATAAAATATGTTACATGAATTGACTTTGCAACATTAAAATAACCTTGCATTCCTTGGATAAAATTACACTGATCATGATCTATTTT